GCCTGCGGTGCGTCTTATGGCGTCGACATGGGCTTCTACGTCTACTTCGTCGCGAACGAGTGGTTGTACTTCTTCTTCTTCTTCTTCTTCTTATTTTTCTTCTTCTTCTTCGCTTCTCCGTTTGGCGTATACCTCTCTTATGTCCAGGAATTGAGTGCCTTGTTCTTAGTGCCGTTGCTGCTTGCGCGCGCCCCAGCGCTGGCGTGGTCGAGTTCGTGGTCAGGCATGGCCCTGCCGGCTCCGAGGGCGACCAAAATGGTTGCATGTGCGTTCTTTTGCCTCTCCTGTGCCTCCGTTCCTGCTCATCCTCCTCCTCCTCCCCCTCGTTTTAATCCGCCCGTGCAGGCGCCAGAGCACCATGTGGTTGGCAGCCGCACGCTCTGAGACGCTGGTCTCCGCGTGGCTTCGCCACCGTCGCCATGGCGCTTTCGGATCCCTGCCGCTTGGAGGGCAGATGCTGCCCCAGTGGTCGGCGCTCACGTTCTCGTCTCCTCTCCCTCCCTTCCTCCCCCTCCGCATCTGTGTGCCGTTTGTTCCGTCCGCCTGCCGGGCCGCTGGGGTAGCTGCTTTGCTCGCTCGGGTCGCCCATCTGGCGCGCGGTGCTTCTCGGCTGGTGGTGCAGGTAATTCGTTCGACCCGTGCCGCTCTCCGGAGCGGGGCCGCATAGAGGCACGTGCTCTGCCCGTAGCTGTGGGCCGCTTCCGTTTCAGGGTGTCGTCCCAGTCTCGCGCCGTCAGTGCTCTAGCTCCCGCTCTTCGCGGCTCGGCACCTCTTTTTGTCATTTCATATCCGTTCGGATCTCGCTTAGTGCGCCACGCCGTGGACGGAACGCTGTCGCACGCCTCCAGGGCGCCGCATAGTTCCTCGTGGTATTCCGCCATCGCTTTGCCGAACGGTAGTCGTTATCTAGCGTGGCTACGTTGGCCCTGGGTTCTATCAGCCACGACTGGACATCGTTGGCCGAGGGCGGATGCACTGTGGTAGTTCGTGTGTCCTCTTTCTCTCCTCGCCTCCTCCTCGTTCCCCTCCCCCTCCCTCCTACGTTCGACTGTGTGTGATTTGTAGTTTGTCGGCTGATTAGGCCAAATGGGGATGTCCACACAGCTGATCGTGGATAGGGGTGACGTCCCCCTCGCCTTTCCAATGGGTGCGGTGATAGCCCCCACGAGGGGCAGCGGATCTGTTTTGATTCTGCCGTCGAGTTTCCCCGTCCGCATTCTCGGGCGCGTTTGAAGTTTGAAACCCAAATTCTAACACAGACGCTGACCAGAGAGGCAATAGAAACGACACGGCGATTCACACCTCGAATGTCCGGCGCTGTAACCAAAACAAGTAATTCGTCTTGAGGACCCCCCCCCTTTTCCAATGGCACCCCCCCGTTTTTCCAATGACCTCCCCTTTTTCCAATGGGACTTTCTTGCTTGTGCTTGCGTGCTTGCTCTCGCTTGCTTGCTCTCGCTTGCCCTTGCTTGCTTGCACTTGATCGCTGGTTCTTGCTTGCTTCTTATTGCTCGCTTGCGCTTGCTTGCTTCCGCTTGCTTGCTTGCGCTTGCTTGCTTCCGCTTGCTTGCTTGCGCTTGCTTGATGTTGCTCCTCCCGTTCTCCTCCCGTCCTGCTCCCGTCCTTCTTTCGTCCTCCTCCCGTCCTCCTCTTGTCCTCCCCCTGTCCTCCTATCTATTTGGAGTCAACGCTGGCTGATATGACGATGATGATGATGCTGATGATGATGATGACGATGTTGATGGTGATGCTGCTGCTGATGCTGATGCTGATGCTGATGATGCTGATGATGATACTGCTGATGACTAGGATGATGATGATGAGGATGAGGATAAGGACGATGCTGATAATAATGCTGCTGTGACAGTGATGCTGATAATGATGATGATGATGGGGATGGTGATGATGATGTTGCTGATGCTGATGATGATGATGCTGTGAATGATACTGATGATGCTGCTGATGATGGTGATGATGAGGATGATGATGATGCTGATCATTGTGATGATGATGCTGCGGATGATGCTGACGATCATGATGATGATGTTGATGATGCTGCTGATGATGATGGTACTGCTGCTGCTGATGATGACGATGCTGACGATGCTGATTATAATGATGTTGGTGGTGACGATGATGATGCTGCTGACGATGCGGCTGATGATGATGATGATGATGATGATGATGATGATGATGATGATGATGATGGTGATGTGGTTGATGATGATGCTGATGATGACGACGATGCTGATGATGATGATGCTGCTGATGCTGGTGATGATGATGATGATAATGATGCTGATAGTGATGCCGATGCTGATGCTGCTGATGATGATGATACTTTTGATGCTGCTGATGAGGATGATGATGATGGTGATGTGGTTGATGATGATGATGATATTGATGATGATGGCGATGGCGATGCTGATGGTGCTGATGATGCTGATGATGTTGGTGGTGACGATGATGACGCTGATGACGATGATGATGACGATGATGACGCTGATGATGATGGTGATGCTGATGATGATGATGATGATCCTGACGGTGCTGATGCTGATGCTGATGCTGATGCTGATGATGATACTGATGCTGACTATGGTTACGATGGTGAGGAAGAGGATATTAATGATTCTGATGATGCTGCTGCTGATGATGATGAGGATGCTGATGATGCTGATGATGATGTTGATGATTATGCTGATGCTGGTGCTGCTGCTGATGATGATGGTGATGGTAATGATGGTGTTGGTGGTGGTGAGGAGAGGGTGGAGGATGAGGAGGAGAGGGAATGGGGAAGAACAAGAGGGAAAGACTGCGACGAGGAGGGAGCAGGAAGAGGAGGAGGAAGAGGAGGAGAAAGTTATTGACGAGGAGGAGAAGGAGGAAGGAGGAGGGAGGAGGGAGGGGGGAGGAGGAGGATAAGGAGGAGGAGGACGAGGAGGAGGAGGAGGAGGAAGAGCAGGAGGAGGAGGAGGAGGAGGAAGAAGAAAAGGAAGAGCAGGAGGAGGAGGAATACCAGGAGGAGGAGGAGCAGGAGGAGGAGGTGGAGGAGGAAAAGGAGGAGGCGGGGGAGGAGGAGGAGGAGGAGGAGGAGAAGGTGCAGGTGGAGGAAGAGGAGGAGGAGGAGGAGGAGCAGTACCAGGAGGAGGAGCTATGAGGGTGTAGGAGTGAGGAGGAGCAGGAGGAGGAGGAGGAGGAGGAGGAGGAGAAGGAGGCGGATGATGATGATGATGATGATGATGATGAGGAGGAGGAGGATTAATAATAATAAGACTATTCACAACTTCAACGAATGCTACTCCTGCTAATAGTAAGAAGACGCATGCCAATGTTACTAATAATATTGTACGTCAGACGAAGAGGAAATTTACTCTTACTACTACCAAGTCGTATCACTGAACATATTTATTCGAAGACTCTTGATCATACGTATTACGAAAAAATATAATGCCTGTCATCCTCATAAGACGAAGCATATTCGTACTACTATCGAGACGGACAAGAAGAAGAGGAGAAAGAGGCGGAGGAGGAGGATGAGGCGGAGGAGGAGGAGGAGGAGGAGTTGTGGTCTTTTCCTCCTTGGATGCTGAACGTTATTGACCAGCCCTGGTATCCCATTGGTGGCGACGCCGTAGTCGAACAACAGGGCGATGCTGCATTGAGTTGACATAGCTACCGATCAGGAGAAGGACGGGGAGACAGATAAGCCTATCACGACAATGAGGGAGGCAGCTATGACAACTGTGGCGATGGCGACGACGAAGATGATGAGGACGCAGATGATGGTGATGTTGATGTTGATGGTGATGGTGGTGATGATGGTGATGGTGATGATTGCGAAGGCCTTACGGCTTGTGCCGCCGAGCCTGAATGGCGACGACGACGACGACGACGTCGACGAGCGCTCTCGCGGGCCTCTTGGGGGTAGTTTGGGGGTCTCTTGGAAGGCTCTTTGGGGCCGCTTGGGAGCCTCGTGGGGGCCTCTTGGGGCTTCCTGGGGGTCTCTTGGGGGCCTCTTGGGGCTTCTTGGGGGGCTTCTGAGGGGCCTCTGGGGGCCTCCTGGGAGCTTCTCAGGCCGAGGGCTCGAAATGACCGTTCGGTCCCCGTCTGGGCTCCCCCTTGGAGCCGTCTTGGGGGCCTCTTCGGCTGTCTTGGAGGCCTCTTGGGCGGTCTTAGGGCCCTCTTGGGTTGTGTCGGGGCCCTCTTGGAGGCCTCTTGGGCCATCATGGGGCGGTCTTGGGGGCCTCTTGGCCTGTCTTGGAGCGTCGGGAAGCTGACAAGGCGAGAATGCCGAAATCTTTCAAAAACCAAAGGATAATCGATGATTTTTGCTCCTTGGGGCCTTCTTGGAAGTTCCTCTTGGAGGCCTCTTGGGGCGTTTTGGAAACCTTTGGAGCCGTCTGGTGGCATTTTGGCGACTTGGACCGATACTTCGGCGATACGGGACCCTCGAGGACCGTCTTGGGGCGGGGGCATCTTGGGGCACTTTTGCCGCGTCTTGGGGATTTTCTGGGCCCCCGAACCGCCCGGGACCCCCCCCGCTCCCGGGACCCCCCCGGGACCCCCTCCGGGACCCCGCCATTTCGCTGTGGTTAGCGCGCTCGAGGAGGAGGGCCCGGTGAAAGTGGGGGGAGCGGCGACGGGCCTAGGGAAAGGGGAGGGGTGTGGCGAAGGCGACGACAACGACCACGACGACGACGACGAGTCAAACGGAACAGCCTCTTTCGCACGCCGACAGGGTCGGCGGATTTTGATAGTGATGATGGTGATGATGATGGTGGTGCCAGAAAACATGACGAGGGTGATTGGGAGAGGAAGAGGCGGAGGGGACGGAGTGGGATGCCAATAACAACCATGATAATGACGAGCATGACGAGTATGATGAGGAGGATTCAGAACAGGAGGAGCGGGAGGTGTAGTAGGATGAAGGCATACTGTCATTGTTGGATGATCGGAGGGAGATGCGGGAGGATCAGCCGTGATGCTCCTGGCGCAAG